AGTCCCATATCTATCAGCCTTTCATCACGTGGCTTGCTCTTCAGGCCTCTAATCATATGAGTGGCTGTTCTCTGGACACTCTCAAGCTTCTCTACAACCTTCTTGAAGTGCGATGCCCAGAACTGGACACAGTACTGAAGTGCAGCCTCACCAATGCCAGGTAGAGCAAGGGAATAACTAACTTCCATAGTTTTGTTTGAGATGCATCACTTGATGCATGCCAGCATATTGTTTGCTCTGCTAACTGTAGTGGCAGAGCTAGCATAGCACCACTGAGCCTGTAAGTTTGTTGCAGATTTTTCCTCCCCAGATGCAGCACTTCACACTTCTTAGTGTTGAACAGTGTCTGGTTCTGGTCCATCCATCTAATTAATCTGTCTAGGTCCACCTGGAACGTCAGCCTGCCCTGATGCATGGCCGCACTTCCCCAGAGCTTAGTGTCATCAGCAAACTTTGCCAGTATGCTCTTCACCCCCACAACCAAATCACTGATGAAGATGTTGAAAAGTACTGATCCAAGTACTGAACCCTGGGGGACCCCACTGGCTACCTTCCACCAGGTCAACACGTATCCAGCTATCAGTACTCTCTGGGTCCAACCCCGCAGCCAGTTTCCCACCCATCTGACCATTGAATTGTTGAGTCCATAGTCCCCTCATTTTACCTGGAGAGCCTCATGGGACACCAATTCAAAGGCCTATCTAAAGTCCAAGTAAATGATGTCAACCTCATCTCCCTTATCTAGGTGGTGAGTAACCCAGTCATAGAAGGAGATGAGGTTAGTCGGACATGACCTACCCATGACAAAACTGTGCTGGCTGTTATTCAGAATTTTGCCTTCTACTAGCTTATTCCATATGGACTCTTTGTGAAATTTTTTGAGGATTTTTCCTGGGATTGAGGTCAAGCTGATCAACCTGTAGTTCCCTGGGTCCTTTCTCATCCCTTCTTGAAAATGGGCACAACATTGGCCCTCTTCCAGTCTTCTGGGACCTCTCCTGAGTGCCACAGATTCTCAAATAAGTTCACCAGTGGTCCTGTGATGACTTTGGCTAGTTCGTTCAGCACTCTTGGATGGAGTTCATCTGGTCCTACTGACTTATAGAGATATCCAGCCTCTCTAGCTGTTCTTTCACCAGCTCTATATTGACTGTTGGTCAATGGAAACTTCTTCCCATCTTTGTTTGTCAGAGCCTGTATTTCTCAAACTTCTAGGAATGAGGCAAAAAGAGTAAACTTGCAAAAGAGTGAACTGAAAGTTTGAGGAGTTTATTATCATCAATGTATTTGTTGGGGAATGTTTATTTGTGTGTCAAGAAAAAAATTAGTAGCCTTTCATCTTTTCATCACATTATAGCTACTTGTGTTACCTATTGCCATTTTAAGATATGATCTTCTATAAATCAAAATCAATAAATATCATTCTGCATGTCTTCAGGCCAATTCTAGCCTGGATCCTCAGCAATTTTGAAAATCAGACCATTTATTTAGATAACTAAGGATGGAATTAGCCTGACTTCAGGCACTCATATTTTGAAAATCTTGGCCATAACATCCTCTTATACTTACCTGCAAGGAGAGTAGGAGTTCCTGCACATCTTTGAGCTGCACACTTCATTAAAAGCCTAAGGACAGTTATTTTTTGTAGGTTTATAATAAAAAAAGAGATTAAGAAGTAAACTGCAGTGGCTCGGGGACTTTGGAAGCATATTCCCCAGAATGTGGAGCTCAGCAATTCAGAATATATCTCTTCTGAAAATGTAAAATGTTTTACCTTACTGTATTATCTTCATGCAATTGGAAGCTAGCACTAACATGATGAAGGCTTGATATTACTTTGCATAAGATGCAACACAACCTTTGTTTAACATTCAAGTAAAATTAGCCAGATAAAGGAAGAAGTCATGAGAGAGAAAAACTTAAGCAAGTTATAGTTAAGGCAGTGTAAAGGTCAAAATTGTAATATTAAATAAATCTTACATGGTTTTATAAACCCTAATTTATTGTCTATGTGCAACTGACATTTTAGCTCTTGGTTTAATACCAAGCACTTCAAAGTATTCTTGTAGAAGAATGGTTGATAACCCTCTTACACAGCATAATTGGAATTCTGCATGTTAGAACATTTGGTTTCTGAAAGATTTTTGTAAATGTTAATAGCTGTCTTTTAAAACGGTGTAAGTGTGAAATGCTATGAAAAGCAAAGGTTTAAATGTCATTGTGTCTATAATTTTCATATTGTAAAAACTAAATAAGTTTTCTAGAATGAAAAACCTAAAGGCCTGCTGCAAGTCTGAAGATATAAGCTAGCTCATTATTACCTTTTTTGGAAACAGATATGACAGATACATTTTATAAAACTTTGCATGCTTTAGGCTTGTTTTGCAAAATTTACAATTGAACATTTAACTGGATGGCAATTGTAGTCAGGCAGATTCTTCCTATTTACACACACATGATTTGAGAATGAATAATTCACCACAAAAGCAGGCACCTAATGAGACTTCCAGATTCTCATCATCTCTCTCATCACAGGTATACTTCATTTCTGGTTCCACTGGCACTCAGACTGAAAAGCTACTCATGCTTTCTCAGGGTTGACTGTGTTTTCTTTCCATAACTAACAAGTGGCTGAAGAACTATGTCAATATGCAAACACAAGGACTTGGATTTTTTTTTAATACTTCTCTGAAATTAAGATAGCAGATACCTTCAGCTCTAATGCAGAGATCTCTTGCATTTGTGCACATTGGGTGTGTCTATATGTCGCTGCACTATACATGTAGCACATAGTTAGATTTTGCCGCTATGTTGCCGTAGAAGCACACTATACTAAGGGAGCGTGGCACTGCAGCAACATAGCTGCTGATCACATGTAGACCCACGTGATTGCTACGTCACTGTAGCACACTGTATGGTGATGTAGCGTGCCCATTACCTGAAGAATGGAACCATGAATTCTGGATTATCTCAGTTTTAAAGCAGCAGCTTTTGATAGACTGTCTCCTAAAAACAACCCATTAAAAGAACAAATAGAACAATAATGACTATTACCCAATGAGGGTATCAGCAAAACTGTGTTCATGTTTCATATGATCCTTTATTCTACCATTATTAAATATAATTTAGGGATAAAAGTTTTAGCGGACTGCAGTTTCATTTTATTAACAGTTAGCAAGTTATCAGTTTATCATCATGCTTGCCTAAATCAAAGAGGCTAGGATGTTTATCAGAGCAAAAATATGTTTTAAAAAAAGCAGGTAACTTAAATAATAATCATGCCAAGAATGCCTAGTCTGTACATGCAGGTTTCAGGAAGCCAGAACAATTTTTCCCCTCAGGTACTGTAATAATAAAGATTTACTTCAAGCAAAACATGATAAGAAAATGTTTGTGTACTAAAGGGAAATAGTCACACTGCAAATATTTCTCATTCCCAAAATAACTTTCTTTAACAAATGAATTTCTTTACCAGGTTCATGTTAAAGGGCTTGTCTGCAGCAGACAGAAAAGTGCTTTGACATTTGTAATATCTATTTTCAGAACAAAATAGTAGAATAGAAGAGAGGGCAAAAATTACTTTGTACAACAGCCATCCACTGCACCTAGCCCAGATGACATGCACCTATGTGAAGGCTTTTGGACTCTGTAATTCAGCTGTTTATTTTACTAGAAAAACTGCTGCTGTTTGGATGCATCTACACATGCGCTTTAATGCACAGTAGACTATTTTACTGTGTATTAAAGTATTACGTAAAAACCCATGACATTACACTAATGTGCAGTAAAATAATTTACTACATTATTAGCATACTAAAAAACGTGTGCAAATGTGCTACTGCACATTAGCGCAGCCTAATGCGTATTGATTTAGAACCTCACATTAGAGGGCACTTTTACATGTGCTGCAGGGGTGGGAGGAAATCCCTTTAATTAGAGCTGCTCTAATTAAAGTGCTACCAAGTCTCCTGTATCAGCATCTCTGTACTTAAAAATGGTGGCAGGGGCACTTGAACTAAAGCTCATTCAATAAGCTTTAATTTAACTGCCCCCAGCGCCAATTTTATGCGTGGGGATGTTGATACATGAGACTCAGGAGGCTGCTGGAGTGTGAGTCTGCTCCAAGCTGCTGGAATTCCAGCACATTGGAGCTCATGTATAGGCACGCCGAGTAATAAATGTAATGCACATTAGAAAAGGTGCATTAATGCACATGTAGACATGCCCTTTGAGTTGTAAGAGGTCATTTAGAACCGTTCTTTCATAAAAGAGAGGGTGAATTTTTCTCTGATGTCAAAATGTGATGAAATGGATGTAATGTTGTAATCCCATCTGAAGAAACATGGGAAATGTGGTTTCTGAGGGTTTCAAGAGTGCTCTGCCTCACTGAGTGGGAAGATGCGGGAGTGAGGGTTGTCACAGGAAAGTGCCAAAGGGGCATAGGCCTTGGATGGGAGGGGGGTTAATTTTTTGCATACTCCTCTTTTCAGTTTTCCAGTGTTAAATGCCAAATTACTTTTATGTTTATTTTGGCAATTCGAGTGTCTAGTAGACTGTATTCTTCTATGCAGCATGTAAATGGTATATGTTGAGCTGGATACTTTTCATTTTATTCCTTTCCTTATCCTAGAAATGGGGAAAGAATTACCTCAAGAGGAAAGGGAATTATTAGTTTTGCTTCATAATGTCCAGGGCAAGTAGAGTAAACACTGCAAATATAAAATACCCTGTTTTCCTGTTGACAGCAGGACAAAAAAAATCCCAAACAAAACAAACTCAGGGATGATCACCTTGATAAAAACAGAAATTTAAGAGCTTGGTGTTTTGGAAGAAGGAAAAGGAGAAGAGCAACTTTGGCCTATGTCTTACTGATGTCAGCGGGAATTTTGGTCAGACCCAGTAAGTGGAGAGAACAATGAGAGATTTTATTTTTCTCTCAAAAACATAGAGACTATTACAGATGTTACTTACTAAGAATGCATTTTTATTAGGTCGCTGTTAATAAAAGGAATGTACTTAAAATACATTTTTTTCAAATTACTGAACAAAATGGTTACCATTCATCCATTTGTGTTCATGTATATTGCACATCTTTGAAGAACCTCATCTGTCTTATATAATGGTCCATTATATCCTTTAAAAAAAGTAAAAAACATGATATCAGGCACACACAAGACAGCAGCTGGCAACAAATTTCATATTTACAATACAATGAAAAACCTTAATCACCTTTAGAATCCACCAGGCAAATGCGACTGTATTCTAAACATTCACTAAGTATATTATGTTAGAAAAGGGCATTTGTTCATTTTATATCCTAACGAATGAATGTTTTTGTGGTGACATTTCTCAATCTTCCTCTTTTTTTTTTATTTCCATCTTTTTAGTCAAAGAGGATCATCAAGTGACCTTGAAATCTACACTGGCATTTTCTTGGCAGAAAGGGAAGCTCTCTTTTCTCATTTGCAAAAATGAATAACAATTTGATCATTCTTAAACTTCTAAAAGGTTAATTATGCTCTCTCCATGAGCACTGAATAAAAACCTGCTTTATCTCTGCCCAAATGAAACCCACAGGGCTCCCATTCCCTCTAACTCTGCCTGGAGACCAAATCCTGCAAGCTGTCAATTAACTCCTATCAGCTCATAGATCTGTGTGAGCTGCAGTTGATTTTCTCATTCCAAAACTATGACAGCTCTCATTTGCCAGAGCTGTCGGTGATTTTAAAAATTTCACAGCAGGAAAGTGTTATCTGGCTGTGGATTTGGTGGATAGAAAAAGAAAGACCAAGAAAGAAAGAGGCAAAAGTATCCTGGGTTAGACAGAGTTCATTTTAGCTCTGAGATTTTCATCTGGTTGCAAAGCCCTACTTGAACTCAAGTTGCTTGTTTCAAACAATAGTAGAAACTCAACGTGTTGTGGGCTACAAAGATTATTCCATAACTAGGTGGCTTTTAAATATTACTGCACAATAACATTCAGTCAGCTATGAGCCAAGATTTGGAAAAACTAGTAAAATAGAATAATCAACATTAAAAGTTTACCCAGCTGCTATTATTTCCTGGCCATAAAATGGCTATTTAGTTTTGAAGTTTGAAAAGGTAAATTCAAAAGGCAGGCTGAAAGGCTGCGAGCATTTGATTTCATTTTTACCTTATAAAAATACTGTTCTCAAAAAAAATAAGAGAAAATGGATTGACTAGTGAGATCACTATATTTTTGTCTGCTTTTTTTTGTTTTCATAATACAGTGCGATCTTGGTAAGTCATGAACAGCTACAGTTTGCGGTAGAGTCAAAGGAAAATTTGCAAAGGTCCCAAACTCCTTTTGTATCAAAGTATTAGTAGTTACATTTTAAAATGTAATTTATAAATGGATGTTCTTGCAGTTGAAGCATATGTCTGTATTCTTGATTCTGTTCCTTG